CTTTTATTAAGAAATTAAGAATACAGAAGTTAAATTAGGAATTAATGCAGCTTGCATTCTTCACATTGACAGTTAGCATAATTTACTTTTACCTGGGTGGGGAAAGTAAAATAATGGTACTTGTGTACTTGAACATGATATTGAGTCTTTAAATTTTTCTTTAATTTTAATGGAACACTTGTACTGAAGGTTCACGGATGGGTTTTTAGGTTTGGCAGTTTTAGACAGCTTTTATAATTTATTTCTAATGGAATCAAAAAACGTTTACATGCGTATGACATCATGGGTGCTTTGCATGATTAGCCTCATGGAAAAACTGTGAGTTTGTCTCAAAAGAAATGAGGACGGTTGGATGACATCCGTGTTAGGTTTCACTTCTTTTCTATCCCTCTTCTCTTGCTTTTTGTCTGTCTGCTTTATTTTTCCTCTGGGCTAAACAAAGAAATATCATAAATGTCGTGGGTAGAGGAAAAGGAAAAAAGAGAACTCTATCCTTCTTGCTTTTTTAGAGAAAGTCGTGTTGAAATTAAAATAAATATTTACATTAGTTAAAACAAAGAAGAATTTAACTTAAAATTTAACGGTGTATTACAGATAAAGATGTGCAATGCTAAAACAACTCCATGGATGGTACAAAATGATTTATTACCTTATGGGCAGGACTGGCAACTGTAGTGTACTTTCTATGCTCCTTATTGTTAAACACAAAAGACAGTGAGTTTGATTCCAGAAATTGGAAGTCTGTTTTGTCAAGTGTTACAATCATGGGATGATGTATCCGACTTGGCCTTGGTTAGCCGTGACAAGCAGGGTCAAAGCAGCCAGACTCCCAAATGATCTAAACGTGTCATTGGTTGGGGGGGGGGGGGGGGGGGGGGTGTAAACCATTTACAATAAACCAACTTATACCATGCGAGGCCACTAAGTGTGTCTTATTTCTTCATGTTCCATTGTTTCTGTCTTTTTTTTCAGTGGGTGTTTGGAGGGCCTCTGTTGTAGCTCCTACTTTTTTTCTTTCCCTCTTTTCTTTTTGTTTTCTTTTCCTTTACACTAAATTACTGATATAGTGCTAATGTGCTTCTCTTTAGTCACAAGTGTTTTTCTGTGCTCTGGGTGCTGTCATACGGATGTACTCCTCTCCAACTAAATGTGAACCCACCTACTTTTTTTTACCATACTTCACATTTCTATTAATTTTTATGGGGAATTTCTCCTGATTTTGTTTGTCTTACTGAAAAACAATCTACTAAATTCTTTTCTCACACGTAAAGTACCGTATGCCAATGAACTACAAAAGAATGGAAGTGGAAGAGAGATAAAATGTATTTGTGTGTGTAAATGCGTTTTTTCAGTCTCATAAACTAGACAGTCAGCACTTTTCCTTAAATCGTGTGTTCTGTCGGATTATATGTGTTTTCTTCCAAGAATGGCATTTATTTGCTTATCTTTTATTCCATATACACAAAACCATCCCTTTACTCATCACTTGAATGTTTGAGAATGTTTCATAAAGTTACGGAAAATATATTTTTGGGGGGAAATAACTATGAAAGTCACATTTAGAAGAGCAAAACAGGACCACAATTATTGACCTTGTAGTTCTTTGAGGTTGTGAACTGTGGTGGTACTTTGATGAGCTGTTTGTTTGTGCATTTAACTTATGGCAGGTGTGTTTGTCAGTTGATGTTGGCATGTATTTCATTTACTATTTACATTCACTTGTATCTTTGACTTTGAGTATGCCGAGAGAAGGTTGGATTAAGTATATATATATATATGTTTTGTATTAACATGATATGATAAATGATATGAGCTCATGCATACAGTGAGGAATACTAGGTCATTAGACTCCTCAGTTAGAGAGTGGTTTTTACTAATTATGTGTGCATGTACAGTCAGGCACAGATAATTGAAACACATCAAGGATTGACAAACGAATGTTTTGCAGCATCCATAATTCAGGTTAAATTAACTGATAACGAAAAAGTAAAGAGATACCAGACAGAAAATTGTATGAGCTAGCCATGCTATCGAGTGTTCATGTTATCTGTGCCTAGCAGATCCATTTAATGAGCGACATTATCGGTTTCTGTGGTGCAAAGGTAAGGTTCTTCACCTAGAGTGCAGAAGACATCTTTTTATTTCCCGCCAATGGAAGTTCAATCAGTCGAAAATCTGTCCGTCAGCTGGCATTCTGTGTCCCATTCACCCAAAGTGGATGGTTGATGGGTGTTCTGGTGTGGTTTGTTCTTTCTTTCCTATCAAACATTTATCGTCTTGATCTTTTCTCTTTCTTTTTTGTTTATTACTCTCTTGTAACACCTCTAATCTTTGACACTTATTAGACCTTACTGTGCTGCAATTGCTGTAAATGCCTACTTACTAAAACTATTCACCCCAAATTGGCTCTGATAAGCAGAGTTAGAGCAGCCCACCCTCTGATAGATATAAAAATTGTGCCAATAGGACTGTTTTGGTCACAACTAGTTCAGTTTTTGCCTCATTTTGCTTTATTTTCATTCATAATTAGCTTATTTAAATCTCTGAATAATTTGTTCTTTTTAAATTCACTCCTTTTTTTTTTTTTACTAGTGGCGGCTTTGGTTTTAGATTTACTGAAACTTTCTAGCCCACCTTGTATAAGTAGTATAAGTGAAGTCAACAATTCTGCTGCCTCCTTTGAGTTGAAAAAAGCCTCCCCCTTCCTCAAATCCTTGTGATGTAATTATGTTTAACCCTATCCGTACGCCTGGGATCATTTTGTACCCCAGGGGTTGTATTCTTCATATTTTAAAATACTTATAGTGCGAAGATCTCTTTGAAACTTTCAATATTTCTCAAAAAAATAATTTTGACAGACTGCTATGCAAAGCGTACAGATTGGATTAACGAGTAAATTTCCTCTTTGGAAAGTGGGGGCACAGAATTCCCCACGTTGTATAGATACGATAGTAAAACACGATGTATGGATAGGGTTAATAATGTCAATGCTAATTTTGCTGAAGCTGTTCATCACTCTGGTACTGCTTTGTTTAAACCCCAAACTAAGCAATGGTTGGAAAATGGCCTTCTCGTTGAATTTGATTATATCTCAATTGGCTACAAAGTTACGAATCTTTTTGTAAAAAATTTTTTTGGAGCAAATTACATTTGTAATGTTTTAAAGGAAAAAAATATAACAATACTATGCTCATATTGAGGAAAGAAATTCAACCCGTCTTTTCCTATGGCTTGGTTCATTACTGTTGTGCACAGAGGACCCAGGTTGAGTTCAGGGAGGTAGTTATTATAATGAATATCTCCATCTGTTAGGATACTGTATCTCGCTCAGCTCTGATTGGCTCTAACAGGCAGGGTCAAAGCAGCACACCTCCTAAATGACAAATTATGTGGATGGGAGCATAAAGCATTAACACCCCCCCCCAGGAGCGCATGTGCTATATTAGGTACATTAAATTATGACATTGATACGGTATCAGAAAATAGGTATCCTTGGTGGACCATAATTCAATGTTCTCTATCAGACTAGACTTTTCTGTCTAGAAGCAGACCTATTACAAATCTTTCTAAAATAAGTCGATCTATATCGAATATTTCCATGTACCATTTCAAATTTCATTCTCTTTTAACACTAATCAAGTTCAGGTTAGAGAGGGTTAATAGTTAGACGTTGAACAGTTTGTTTGCATGGCTATCTCTCTTTAGATGACAAACGAAGTTTGTTTGCAAGGTTATCACTGTTGCCTTCATGCCTTGGTCTTGAGCTTGGGGGGGGGGGGGGGATCTTGAAGGACAGCCGTTGAGATAACATTCTTTTTTAATCCCCACTTGAGGTCAGGAGCTTCTGCCAGCTGACAGTTCAGTTGCATTGTACCGGTATATGTTATTCACAGGACCATCTTTTTCTATGTCTACGCTACTGCAGCTGAAACTCAACTATTTCTTGTCTTGTTTTGACTGAAGTACAGACCAGGAGTTTGAATAAAGCAGTAGTTTGTGGCATCATATTGTTGAATTTGGGGGAAGGCCAGGCTTTTTTCGTCTCTATATTATATGCAGCTTCTGAACATGTCCAACTTTTTTATGGCAGCCTTTCTCTACTCCAACTGTGGAGTTAGTGGTTGAAGGAGATAGAAAAATGGCCAGCGAAGTCCAGAAAGGTGCTACACCTTGTTTGCTTCTAAGGGTGTCACTCTTTTGAAATTGCACGATAGATTTTTGTGTTGATGTTCAGCTTTTGCACTGTTTTCTTTTTCAAAAAGAGAAATAAAAACCAAATTTAGAAAAGGACACTTAAATTTAGGTCATGTCTCTTAGATAATTTCACAGTATTGAAAGAAGTTAACGTCATTCACATTATAGTCCCACAACTGAGCTAATTGTGCCGAAAAAAATTGTTGTACGATATGTCCTTCCATGATGGTAGAAACAATTTGCTTCTGTCATAAGTCTTCTGTACCACTCCATGTGGAGGGTTCATGTGACTTCTTGGCAACTCCTTTGCCCACCACTTCATTCCAGCTGACCTTCTCACTCCCCTGGGAGGGCATGCAGTGTTATGGCCAGTCACCATGATTGATTTACGGATGTTTGGTGTGAAAAAATAACTTTGCTTATATTTATAATGACACCCTGCGATGTTGGGTGTTTTTTTGTTTTTGTTTCTCTCTGCATTTCAAGTTTGAGAATCCCTGCCCAATACTGTTTCAAACTATTTGTTTTGTTGATGTTTCTGACTCCAATTGTTCCACTTGTCCCAGCAATGTTTTCAAAAAGATGTTAATGATCCTATAAATGACCTTGTTCAGTTGTGATGTCTTGTTATTGTACATATTTTTGTTATGATGACACTGATGAACTCATGACGATGATATTTTTATGACAAGAAATAAAATTATAAAAATCAAGTCTGTTTGTTCTTTGTTAGTGTGTTCTAGAAGTTCTATGGTCACAAATGTATTTTCAAATTTGTAAGAAATGTTAAAACACCACACATGATATAGATTTGAAATGAATTTATTTTCTTTTTTTCAAACAGTCTCATTAAAGGACATAACATTTTCTTACTACCCTCATGTACCACAAAACATTTTCTTTACTCTCCTGAGCAACAAGACAGTTGCAACTCATAGTGTCACAAAGACATGCACTGAAAATCCTTATAACAGCCATATTAATAATATTGTCAGAGAATTGTCTCATACAACCATGGCCACAGGCAAAGCAATAGACTATCAGAAGACACACTCTCTCTCTCTCTCATTCTGTCTGTCTCTCTCCCTCTCTCACTGTCTCTTTGTCGCCCTCCCCTCTTCCCCTCCCTCCCTCACACACAAGTGCCACTCAAGACAAAACACCCTTGCCCCGAAGTCACTATCAACCAGCTGATCACAATGACCGTTGACTCGGTACTCCTATCAACAAGTTGTTCTTGGGTGAGCAGCTGAGTGGTTGCAAGGAGCACAGACAGACCTGATAGCCTTGCTGCCTGGCAAACTCAGCTCGGTCAGTGTCCACAAGGTTCATACACGTTCGCCCTGAGGAAGGAGAGAATTCCGAAATCATCAAAATCAGTTTTATTCAGTTTTTGTAAGAATATATAATTATAAATGGCACCCGCAACACAATTAGGTCTAAGTCTAAGTAAAATAAAGTAGATTAGAGGTGGTACTAGAGAGTAATACAAAGAAAAGGAGGAGGAGCGATACAAATCACAGATATTTGATAAGGAAATATAAAAAGCAAACAACATCAGAGCACCCGTCAACCACCCACAAGATCAAAATCAATTTATACTTGGAGTAAAGAGCCCAAAGAAAGCACACTGTTGCAATAGGAGAAGTTACCAGTCCATACAATTTTGAGCCCACTTAAAAATGGGTCCCTAGTATATGGCAAGCAAGCTGTCCAGATGTACCAAGCACATAAGGCAACATTTTTTGTAAAGAGAGAAAAAATTATTTTGTTGTTTAAACAATTGTACAAATATGTATTTTTTCTTCCTTTTTTTTCTTAAACATTTAGAATTTGGCTTTCCTCAAAAATATTTATTGAGCACAAACATCCCATTTCTCAGATCAAGATTTATCAATGTAAAAAAAATCCAAAACATTTGGCCGAAGCCGACTCTTGTCGATTTTGGCCTACCAAGAGATCTTTAACATGCGCAGCTTGCACTCAGGACATCCAAGATTTTCCACCCTTTTCCAAGAAGGCTACGTGTTAAATCTTATCTACCCTAAGATCAGGGGTATGGTTGAAAGACAGCAGTATGAAGGAGCCAAGGAGTAGCAGTAAAAAGGCTGCAGAAAGAGTCAGGCACCCAGAGGAGGAGGCAAAGAGGGAGGAGGTGGGGGTCAGAATTTGGAGACAAAAGCAGACGATAGAACATGGTTAGAGAGCAGGTAAGGAGGTGAAAGGAAAAACATTTTAGAGAAGAAAATTGTTCGTCGCTGTCAGGATTCAAACTCGGAACCTATTGAATGAGAGGCAAACACCTTAACCTCTCGACCTCGAGAGCCCCATTTTTTTCCATCTGAATAGCTGGCCAATGATAAGTGAGTGATAAGAACTTGAGAAGAAGACATGGTCATCATCTGGGTTGGATACACATGCAATGTCATGGGCAAAAATCATCTTATCCCCATTGTCTGGGAAAATCTCATGGGACTGTTTAGTGTCCCGAACAGGGCCAGTATGGGGTTCTCATGTTTGTGCTGACTGGAAAAGACCATTACAGAAATCTGAGAAAATACCCATAATGGATTTACTCTTTCTTCAAAATTTGAAACACAGTATAATGAGAACAAAATATGGGGGCTCACGAGGCCGAGGTCTAGAGGTATGGTGTTCGCCTCTCATTCAAAAGATCCTGAATTCGAAACCGGAGTCTAAAAAATTTCACCTTTCTCCTCCTCCTCCTGTTCTATCACCTGATTTTGTCTCCACTTTCTAAACTAGAGATAATTGAGGCTAATTTAAGCCTCATCAGCTTCGGTAGTATCCGTCCCACTTTTTACAAGGCTGAAAAATTGGGTACAGAATATACCACACTTTGTTGATCTTAGCCAAAAGGCCCTACACTAGATCCCCTCACACTGCCCTGGGAGAATGTTGATTTACCTTGGGTTTCAAGAGCAATGTTGAACTCTGTCTGGTCAGCTGCATGACCAAGGGTCAAGAAATCCTGAAAATCAGAGACATAAAAGAGAATTATGAAATTATACTATTCTCACTACAATCCAACAAAATCTCTCATTCTGAAGTAGAGTGAACCTTGAACCATAAATGAGAGAAAAGAGAAGACAAAAATAATGGTATCATATGTTCTATGCTCCCATAAACACAATTTACATAATTTAAGAGGTAGGTTGCTTTTGCCCAGCCTGTAAGGTCCAACCTTTGTTGAGTGGGACACAGCATCCCAGCACAAAGACGGAGATACTTGATGGGTGGTTGGTGGGTGCCCTGATATAGTTTGCTCCTTCTTTCCTATCAAACGTGTAACGTCCTTAAAATCTTTCCTACTTCCTTTCTGTGTATGTTACTCTTCAGTAACATCTCTGATCCTCAGCACTTCTATGATCTATTTGTGTTGCAAATGCTGTAAAACTCATACTACATCTAAAAGGAGCTCTGTTCTACAAAATAACTTCTCCTCTAGAGAATTGAACTTTTATAGATGCTTACCATTACATCAAAGAGGCTGACAGAAAGAGAAAACTGTACAACCACTTTCCTTGTAAGGTCAAATTTGCAACATTCTATGTAGGTACCAGAAACTAAATTTCAGATCTGTTCCATGTGAATGGTATATGTCCCTTGAGAATTTTGGTACCATTTTTTAATCTCTCAATGTTTAAAAAAACAGCTGTTATTTTGATATAATAATTAAAATATAACGAAATTCGCTAACTGGCTGCAACCCCATGTTTGAAAATAATAAAACAATACCAAGTGCACCAAATATCAACATATGCATAAACATATGGTAATCAATAAGACGCCTAATTTTTTTCTCCAAAACTGTGATATCGTTGCAAATCAGTATTTTATTGCCCCAAGAATGTGGAACTGTTGTATTCTGACAAAAACTCAGAGCCCTGTCTCGGCTGGCATAACACATGCACCCGTGCCGAGTAGTTTGGCTCTATGCCGTGGTACACTGACTGCTATGCTCCCTTGTCGGGGTCATACATTTTCAGAGTTTTGCAGTGGGTGGTTGGCAGGTGCTCTGGTGTGGTTTGCTTCTTCTTTCCTATCAAACATAGATCTATCGTCCTTATCTCCCCTCCTTCTTTTTTATGTTTGTTACTCTCTTGTAACACATCTAATCTTCTGGCGCTCATTTGACCTTATGCAGTTGCAAGCGCCATAAAACCTCTACTAAAACAAACAAAGAGTTTTGCAGAAGGATCAATGCAAAGTAATGCCGAGTCAAAGACTTTACTCCAACAGAAAAAGAACTGATCTTGCTTTTTGTGCTTTTTTTAAGCCAGTATTTGACTTTGACATATTTTGTGTAAAAATAATTATCTTTGAAAAATTTAATTCCAAAGGCTAAAAGTATACCACTTGATAGGTCACTCAACACTCTATAGTTCTCTGCCAATGAAAATATTGTATTTAATTATCTATCCTTCTGTTAAGCATTTAAATGTTTAGGTGTCGATTCTTTAACTCACTTGCGACTGGGCCCTTTCACCAGTCACAAGCGTTGAAG